TTTTTTTTCTTGTATCATCTTTCTTTCATATACCCTTCGTTTCATAAACCCTTCAAGGGTTTAGCATGATTTGTAGAAAGGACAACGGTTTATTATTCTACTCTTTTTTATTTACAGTTTAGATGTCATTAAGATTAAAGCCCCATTTTGCATCGAAATACATAGTTAATGAGAAAAGATGAGGTAAGGACTTTAAATGGAAAAGAGGTATGACAGATTTGTCTATGCTAATTTTTCGAAGAACAATTGATTGAAGACGAGTAAATGATGAATCCGTAATACAATATGTAAAAAAATCATTAATGAACAATTCATTCTCCAAACATAACGAAAGAATACGATGTCTATTTGGAATAATAAAATTTTGACAGGAATCTATTAATTCTGATGTTGTCCGTGGGCGAAGTTGAATCTTGAGTGAAAGTAAGGGATTATTAATAATAAGATGTTGAAAACGAGAATTTAGGTTTAAAAACGATCTATAAATCTCCCAACAAGCAATATACTCAAAAATTGCATAGAAAAGTTCATTGGATAAATGTTCAATACAACTAATCGATATGCTAGAAAAAAAGATCGAATTCAATAAAAGAAAACGGTACTGAGTGCAACTTACTTTTCTCTTTTGAATATTGCTAAAAAAAATCAAGAGAGAAATTGATCATATGCAATTAAAAACTCACTTTGCAATTTTGTTTTCTCAACAGTAGGAGATTCGCTAAAATCTAATTGTCGTTTCATTTGATAGATATTGGTTGATAATCTGCTATCGTTCGGTCAGCTATGCTTTTTCTCTGCACGTGATGTGAATGTATTCTTGAATTCAGTCGTGTCTAGTCTGTTTTGTTCATGACCTCTGCCCGGACTAGATAATGGAACAGAAAAATATTAAGGCAGATTTGAACGTTTGACGTGGCATTGTTCAGTATTTGACTGCAAGGGTTAGACTGACTGAAATTTATATAGTCTAAATAGCGAAGTGATTTCCGTTATTGACAATTTCATCAGTCAATGATATTTACTTTCGCATCATTTATATACTTGTTCTATTGAACTTGAGCGCAGCATTTATCAGCCTTACAACGATACTTTTGAATGGTTGAACTAAAAAGATTTTCATCACTTATTTTGTTCGTTTCAAATAAATATTTTCGACTAAATTAGATCATCGAAGATTATACAATAAATCAATTATTCAAATCACAATCATTACGTTTGTTAACTAAGATGTCAATTAATTCACGGATCGAAATTAAGGGTGACACTTTATATTTACTTTACCCAAACATTAAAGTGAAGTAAAATACTATAGTTAAGTTTGCTGTTGGTTTATTGATTCACCATCATACTTTGATAATGGTCCAATATGAAAAAGTTTATTTGACATCATTTCTCAATTCATTAAGTAAAAAAGAATAAAAAAGTCAAATTGAAAAAATAATATTTTTCATTTATTAAAACTTCAACGCTTCACTACTTTTCCCGTTCTATCGATCTTTGGGTGTAAGCAGCATGCAATTCAATTCATACTTCAAAACCTAGAAAAATACATATGACGTTTGAGATTTATAATAGAAAGTATTGGAATCTGGTTGTAGAGACAAAAAAATATGAGTAGGGAGACTAGATCAAAGCAATACTTGATATAAGCTTACTGAAATAGAGAATATACTCTAATTTATAACGGTTCTTCTCGTAAGTCGTATATTTTTATTGATTATAGATTTTGTACAGGATTGTTGTTGTAGAATTTTCTGACATAATCTTACAGATGTTTTACTTTAGTTTCAATTTAGTAGAATTGAATTAACGATTTTTTCCCAATACTTGTTAAAAAGCATTTTCATTATAACTATAAAAATCTCCTATTTTATTTTTCTTTCAATCGCATCGACATTTGTCTAGTCATACAAGAAAATTCTTCTATTGTCAAGATAAAGTTGCACTTTCACGAATCAACCTAACAGCTAGGAAATGGCGGTGATAGAAAAATGAACCAAATCAAAAATTGAATTTTCTAACATAAACTAATGAGAAATCGAACGCGCATCCTATGGCACAGGAGACCCTCACCAATACTATGATTTCAACTAAAAGCATGATCTTAGGAGAAACCGATCTAGGGTAAAATCAGTTCTGTAGAAGTCCGGTCTATATGGTTTTAAAATACGCACTCACTACTACAAAGTCATGCAAGACTTTTTTCGGGACGTCGCAGAATGGTGTGCGGCACTTTATCAGATGTGGAGCCCGAAAACGGCTTCATTCATGCTGAACTCGTTGAGATTTGCTTAGGAACAAATAAAAATGTTACACGATATGGATTAGGTTTCTGCCCAGTGTACAAGAGCATACAATATTATACTGATTGATGTACAAACCTCTGTTGAAAATGGCAAAAAAAAACAATTTCAACTAGGAAACCCTGGAGTGAACGTGGGTACGGGCGGTGTTGTGGTCATTTATACCAATCAAAGCAGCATACTACCTCATCCACACCCACGCCCTTTGATAGTTATTTAAAAAAATTATAAATTCAATTGTTATGGATCGTTTTATTATAATGAGATATTATTCGCATGCGATCTTTAATCGCACATCAATGAGATTTGTAATATCAGATAAGGAGAAGAATTACGAAGATTTTTAACTATTATGATCGGTAATAAATTATTTCTAGAGTTTCTTTAGATGTACCTTTTTAGATTGTCTTTGGAAAAAATAATCTTATTAAAAAGTTCATCTAACTCAACATTTACTTGTGAAAAGTATAATATTCTGGTTGAACTTGATATTAAACGATAAGGAATTTAATTAGGGAAAAATTATGTCTGATCTCTATGAGATTTAAATAAAATGTTCTTCTTTTAGTATTTTAGGAATTTTTCTATTATTCATTCGTAGATATTTACAAGAATCACCCAAATCGTATCGCCATTTCTTCATGTTTTTAAAATGTCTAATACATATTTGAAATGAATCTTTCATTTTCTTTTTATTGAAAGAGAAGAAAAAGTGTTTAACGAAATTGGCTCAATTTGTTTCATACAATATTAATTGAATAGTTTTACTTCGATATCGAGATTATATTCGAGCTTATATAATTATTGACCTGATTCAGACAATTATAGCTTCTTTTTCTTGGTTATTTTTTGTGACTATTTCATAAATAAATAATTAATGTTATTTCGTGATGCTCTTCGTGCTTCAATAACAAGAGATTTATATTCGGCCACTAAAATCCTTACGTTTGTATAAACAAGAGAAACATTGGATACTCAACAAATGTAAAAAAAGTAAAAGCAATAACTGAAACTTCTGAATCATCAATTGAACTTACATCAATTATAAGTACAGAAAAATTTTATATTTGTATTGTTTCTACCATTTTTTTAATTGGATTCTAAATAAAATATGAATAAACAATCAAGAAAAGAATCTATTTCAGATTCCTTGGAGTTTTATTTTTCCATTAATAAGAATAATCAACAAAAACAAGTCTAATATTCTCTTCTCGAAATATGTAGATCTTCTTATGACTATTGCTGGTAAATTAGACATATTTTTGGGAAAAGCATCTTTTCCCTTTAACATTCATTAGTTGCAAAAAATCGATCCTCTTCGATTATTTTACGATTAAAATAGAACGATAAAATTTTATTTTAAAATTTTGATTCACTTTTTCTGACCATTTTACTTTTCAATATTAATTGAATCATATTAGCTCTGTTCGATTTTCTACTAGGAAAATTTTCACAAATAAGAATTTAATGCTCCTGGTTAGAAATTTAATTTATCCTACAGTTTCAATTCGCTTTTTCATAATAAATTGTGTCCCTGTAACAGAAGTCGTCGAGGCCTTTTGGAAGTGTTTTCTTTTGTATCCTTTTTCAAGAAACCAAATAAATTCTAACGCTTTGGAAAGAGAAAGATTTGAATTATACATTTTGTAAGTTACCACACATACTTTTTTCGGAAGGAACCTATACAGCAGGAGAAGACAAAACTTGCTAAAAATGTTCTTGAATTTTCAATTTGAACGGATACCAGACACAATTTCGAGAGACCCTGAATGAAATGAATATGACTCACGAGCTCACAAAAACAAATCTTCAACGTGTGTGATACTTAGGATATGATATGTGAGAAGCCTATGATCGCCAAGATTAGATTTTGTACGAATGAAGATTTTTCTTTTTTCCATAAAAATTGTATCGAACACGATATGATAGAAGAAAAAAAGCACAACTCTACTTGTATTCGAACGCACTTTAATCTCTGTATTACTATAGGTTTTCATTGATGCATCCCAAATTGTTTTTTCCTTTCAGAAAAGAAAACGTGTATTTAGGATATTTTTTAGATTAGTGTTTTTATCGCAAAAACTGCCAATTCAAAGAAATGACGAAGATTTGTTTACACTTGTTTGGCTTGGAAATTCATGTGATGAGACGCAATTCGGAATAAAGAAGTTTATAAATAGATTTACAAATTTGAATGAATTAAAAGAATATATTATCGATCAACCAAATTCTTCAATAATTGTTATTATCTCGGATAGTATTCCATTAGATGGTACATCTTTCGTTGATTCGCCCAGATCTATGCGATTTATAATGAAAAGCTTGCGTGTTTGTACTATTTATCGGAAATGTTTTCAACTATTGATAAATATTTGAAAAATAAACAGCAGGAAACAAAAAAGACATCAGATCAATCATGTATATATCTAAAATATTGTAGATTGCTCGAAATATTGTTTTATTATTGTCTTGGCTTTTTCAATCTGTATGGCATATATTTTTCAAAATCTAGGGAAAACAGATGGCCATATTCGTTCTGAGTGGACCGTTAAATATGGCTGCGTGATATTAGTATTCTTTCTTAGTAGTCTCACTCAAATATACAGCCTGATAGTGATTCCATTTTTAGTTTATTATTTAACATTATTTTTGTTAAATACGCCTATGAATAAAGTATTACTTTTTGGTAAGATTATAATGGCTTCAACGTCTACAATAATTTCTAGTAATGTTATTATGGCTAAGAATCCGTTGGACAATGAATATGCTGCATTATTAAATGCAATACTTGGTAATATTTTAGGTATCTTTCTTCCGCCAGCTATGATACTATTGTTTATGAAAAATTAGATTATGGTCATGCTATCAAAAATTTAAGCTTAACTGCTTTTCTTCCTTTATTTATTGGACAAGCAATTCATCTATTGTGAACAAAAACACTAATAGATAGATGAGAAAAATTTTATTTTTCTGAATTGAGTAGTTTAACTTTGTTAACACTTGCGTAGTCCGCATTTTGTACTTGTTTTTCTACGGGATCGTTTAAAACGATGCAAACACAAGATCTTATGTTTTATTGGCAGCTTTCTGAAAATTATTCTGTAGCAATTATGTTTTGTAGTACAAAAGTTTAGCTATGGGAATTTCAGTAATCAATGCTTTATATCGTAATAAACATCAAGCTCCGATTGTTTTACTTTCACTACCATTGATGATCGGTGCTATTCAAGTTGTTTTATTGAAAAATTGGATTAAACATAAATTAAAAGATAATACGAATAGTCAATCTAGTAATGAAAATGAAGTTAAAACAGACGAATTAGAAATGATAAATGTTGAATAAACGAATCTATAAAAATCATATCGACTTTATCAAAAATCGAGATTTCTTAAAATAGAAGAAAATACCTCAATTACTGATTGTATACCGTTGTTATCCTTATTCAACCTGTTCATTTCTTGTATGAGTATAAAAATAAAATATGCTTTGATTGAAGTACATTAAAATAAAAAAATCTAATTTGATAGTTTTTTAGAAATGACACATACGACCTGGCGAATTGCTTCGTGCTTAACAAAAATTTTGTTTGCTTGTTCCGTCGGTCTTTTTGTCTGATTTCAATTTTAAAAATACGGTCTATTTTATTATTGAAAATAGATTGACTCATTTAAACGATAGAAATTTCTCTGATGAATGATTGAAAATATTAAATAAAAAAAAAAACTTCTGTTTTTTATTTTTTATACGAAAATGTTTTCGAAAACGTAAAAGCATTAATTTGGTGGGTGTGGGTGGTTGTATGATGGTGTGAACATAGATAAATGAAAAAATTAGAAGCGCATTCACACCCACACCCTGTTACTAAAAAATTGAAAATTAAGATAGTTCATGTTCTTTCTGTTCTAAATTTTAATAGCCACTTTGAAGATGATCAGCTGACTTCAAGATGACTTCGGTTGGTGTATCTGTGATGCCTCGCGCCGTAGCTTCTTCCATTATAGCAATAGTGGCGGTAGCTCCCACGCGGGTTACACCTAACGATCTTATAATAAGCAATTCGTCCAGCGTCCGAACTCCACCAGCAGCTTTGATCTGCACACTTGGTCCACAGTGTTCTCGCATCAACTTAAGATGTGGGATGGTGGCACCCTTGTAGGAGTACAGGCCATTGGCATTCTTGACAAAGCCGTATCCAGTTGATGTTTTGACAAAAGCAACCGAAAGGAATGTGCAGATCTGACAAAGTTTGATAATGTGCTCGTCTTGAAGATAATCGTTTTCGAAAATGACTTTCAATATAGCATTGCGTTTTGTGACAGCTTCGTTGATGAGCTGAATCTCCTTGCTGACATAGTCCCAGTCTTCTCCAAGGGCCTTGCCGATGTTGATAACCATATCGATCTCTTGGCCGCCTGCTTTGGCAGCAGCGTCTGCTTCGATTACCTTGATTTCGGTTGTGCTGTTGCCGTGGGGAAAACCGATAACAGCACAAATGAGAACGTCAGATCCAGCTAGAATCTTCTTGGCCATTGGAATTGAATAGGGCTTGATGCAGACCGTGGCTACATTGTATTTTTTGGCAATTTCCAAACCGGCAACAATCTCGCTATCAGTCATTGTTGGATGAAGTAGAGAATGGTCAATCATTTTGGCCAGCTGAGTATACGTAACTGACATAGCCTTGGTGTTGGACGCCATTTTTTCGAGACAATTGAATCACTTGCGTTCTGAAGAAAGACGATAACTGAATGATATCTGAAATAGACAATTGTATTGATCACGAGATTGTTCCTGTTATAGCAGAAAAAACGCCGCAGAAAGCACTTCAATTATAATAAATTGATTACGTGGCCAGTAGGAATTTTCTGAAAAGCAAATTCAATCAGTCTCATCGCACATCAAGACTATAGCGATACAGACATATACCAGCTCGCAGCCAGATTCTTTCGGAGCTGATTTCTCTTCTATTAATATAGAACCTAATGCTAACATCATGGAAGCCGGTACAGCATGCCATAATCTCAAATCAACCGCACACAGGCTAAGAATATAGAAGAGTGTTAAGAGTGGCAACAGTTATGAATCGAGAGAACTCGTGAAATTTTGACTCAAAGAATTTTTATTCTACTCGGCTAACGTCTGCTCTTTTCTGGATAAACTGACTGCTCAGTTAGGTTCTTTTTAAACTAAAATAGAGCTTTTATATACTTAATATTAGTATATACTTACATAAAACTACAGTGTGACAAGCATTGCCCATGCATTTTCTGAATTAGAACTGGTTTCGAATGTATGAGAAAGACGCTGAACCAAACAAATTAACTGGGCATTAGATCGATGTTCAGAATAGATCCTCTGTGCTGCACCATAGGACATCATATCATGCACCGTTTAAAATTATTTTTGCATACTCAAACACATTCATATGAAGCGTCGAAGTATGAAAGGAAACTTGCCTTCTACAACCGATTCACAGTCATGTATCAATACTTCTGGTTAAGTTGCTGTGTTTCAGATAGATCTAAACTGAAACTTCAAGTCTCTCTTCTGAAACTGATTTTTTCGATTCCTTTGGTTGATCCAGTAAAATGTAGGCCTTTACCTTTTACCATTCTGAGGCAGTGAGTACATCTTCAACATTGAAATCAACCCAGATCAGCAGAATATTTCTAGTCTCTTCAGAGTCATTATAGGCCTGCATCGTTATTGAGAGATATTTGTGTGTGTGTGTTTGTATTGATCAAGAGAATAGTCACGTTCTCGCCCTCATCATCTAGCTCATACAGTGTTTTTTTGTACATCGTGTAACGACATGTGTATCGGTAGTGTGCCCTGGATAAAGAAGAGTATACTATGGATAAACGTAAAGGTAAGAAAAAAAAGGTCGTCTTTCGTCCTATATAAGCTTCAAATTTCATGTTTAAAGATTATTATAAATCATTTTTTACTTCTAGAGTTAGCTTGATAATTAATTTATTATATTTAAAATTTTCAATCAATTTATTTATTAATGAAATTTAATTTAATCTTTCCATTTTTTTCGAAAGAAATTTTTGAATTTTGTATGGAAAACAAATCTGGTTGACAAAAAGTTGAACTGTGCGAATATCGTACGTGTCTCGGTTTATTTTTTATATAAAACATTAAATGTTTTACATACATTTCTCAATATTTTGTTTTTCAAACAAAATTGAACAAATTTATAAAAGAGAAGGAAAATGCCTGAATTTCATTAATAAATAAATTGATTGAAAAATTTAAATATAATAAACTAATTATCAAGCCAAATCTACAAGTAAAAATGAGCTTGAGCTAAAAAATGATTTATTATGAGCTTTCAACATGAAATTTGAAGTTTATATACGTATGACGAGAGACGACCATTTTTTTTCTTTTCTTTACACTTATGTCGATATTAACGGGCGCCCCATAATAAATGTCCCACTTTTACGCCAATGAAAAGATGTACTACTAATCCATGTTTTTCATTTATTCTTATTGTGTATCTTTGGACACTAGAAGAGTAATATACCGACACGATTTCAACACTACAGGTCCTTTTGTAGATTAATGTAAGACATGAAATATAAAGATCTTCGAAAAGCTGTCGTACGAATCACTAATGATGGGTTGCGTGTGGATGCATTAATGAACAGAAGGTTTATACAACCACAACCACACACTCTCTTGCAACTAGGCTACTCCCTTTCATACATCAGCGATGAGAAGTGGGGTAAACAACGAAAACATCACGTCATGCTTTCTTTCGTTGGCTGATATCGCCCGTGATGTCATGTGTAATATCGCTCGCACTCCGCACCCAACAACGTTCTTCACAATGCTAATATTTTTTTATTTCTCAAAAATCAATTTTTTAAAAATAACAATTGATAATCATCTTTTCCTGTTGAGTACCATATTTACTATATCAATGAATTTTTGAACCGTTGAGTCGTGGCGAATCTCGCGTAAAATTGTCTGCCACTTTTTCAAGTAATTCACGAGCAGCAAAGAGATAAACATTATTTAGAAAGCATGTTTTTGTATTAAGCAAAGATTCTTCAAGATAATCTTCGTAAGCTTGAAAAAACTGAAGTTCAATAAGATGATAGTAATTAATAATTGATACATTTTCAACATCATTTTTTGATTTTCTACGCCGTTCATTTATTTGCGCTTTACGAGTATTTATAGTTAACTTTTTCATAAATGGAAATGATTGAAGAATTTGAAGAGAAAAATCATGTTCGACTGGACGTTCATCAAATAACGATACTTCATAAACACGTTTAAATAACTCGCTGGGGAAATTATTTCTGATTTTATTGTAACATTTTCATTCATATATATACGAATAAATATGACATTGATTATATCTGCTTCCTTGAAAATGATCAAAACAAGAAATAACTCGATTATATTTAAAATCTTTGAAAGATTGTTGAATATATTCATTTCGTGGCAAATCAGTTTCAATATAATGACTATTACAT